ATAATTATCAAATCATTCAAATGACTGCACCAATTAGAAATCAATATTTTAAAATATTATTCTTAGGGGCCGGCCCCATGGCAGAGTGGTTAAGTTCGTGTGCTCCACTTTGGCGGCCCAGGGTTTTGCTGGTTTGAATCCTGGGCGGGGACATGGCACAACTCATCAAGCCATGCTGAGGCGGCATCCCACATGCCACCACTAGAAGGACCCACAACTAAAAATATGCAACTATGTACCGGGGGGTTTTGGAGTGAAAAAGGAAAAATAAAATCTTTAAAAAAATTTAAAAAAGAAGTAAATAAAATATTATTCTTAATGAGTCCCGCTAGAAAGCAAGAGTTTAAATAGTCTAAGTAAACTATATTCCAATTCATTTTTCATCATTGGTATTTAAATTAGATTTTTTTACTTTAAACCTGAAATGAGATGCATGTAAACAGGCTTTGTAATTTGAAGAGTGATATAAATGTAGGGTATCATTGTTATTGTTATTATTATCCCTGTCCCTCACAGGCCCCAGCACATGCTTGGCATGGTTAATAAGTATTTGCTGTCGTTAGATGGGGCCATCACCTCACATTGCAAGACCAAAACAGACTCTCTGCAGATACTCCTGCCAATGCATCCTGCTCATAATTATTTCCTTAAGTGGTTCTGGCTGGGCCATTACCTCATCCCTTGCTCTGCTCTGTGATGCCTCCAGCTTTCTTTCCACAGGGAGCCTGTCCTACACCCTCCTGACTCATCAATAAGACAGATATGCACGCACGTATGTGGCTTGTGTTACACTTGCCTACTTGTGGGAAGAACTATTCTCATTTCAAAGCTTCCCCGAGTCCTCAGAGGCGGGCACTGGTTCTTAGGTTCCTTCTGTAGCTCCACTTCTTGGGCACAGTGCCAGGCAGGCCATCGGAATAAATGTTTACTTATTGTTGACTGAATGTCTCAGGAAACTCAGTCAACCCGGCCTTCACCCACATGGATGCTTTTATTTTTCTGCCCAGAGACAACAGGTGTTTTCTTATTGGGTTTTATAACAGAGAAGCAGAATAGCCTTGGAAAAAAGTGCAAATAAGGCAACTGTGAATACAAAGCGATATGTCATAATATGTCCTTTTGGGGATTAATTACATTTTTTCCAAGAAATTTTGGCCCTTAAGCTTAGTTTGGTGTTTTCTAAACTGTGGTAGAATCAGTTTTCCTTATCCCAGAGTAATGGGGGACCGGGGGAAGCATGAATAAATTAAATCTGTAACTAATGAAGGGAGGGGAACTAACTTTAGCCCCAAATCCCTACCCTCTTCCAAATGTTTCAGTAAACCCATCACAAAGAGTAACACCAAATGGACGGAGTTTTACTCTTTTCTCTCCCCATTATTATCTGATGGAAATCCTAATGAGAAAAGAAATCTGACCTCAACATTAGTCTCCAAACACTCACGTCCTAAATAGGCAATAGTGGCTACCAAGAATCGACTCCTTCATGTTCCTTTTTTACATCTTGTTTTCCTAAAACAAGCAGAGACCCGTCAGCACCCATTCCTAGGAATGCTTGCACAGCCGTATAAGGTGTTGTCTCAAGCACTGAGCACGCTGCCTTAGCAAATCGGAGGGCCTGGATGACGGCTTGCTGTGCTCTAGGAAAATAGAATCATTACACATGGGTCACACTCAGAAGAGATGATGCGGCCATGCTGGGTTGCGGTTGGGGTGAGCTGAAGTGCCTTGTGGTGCCCAGTTCCTGGCTCTCTATCTCAGGCCACGGGACCAGTCTTTTCCTGGTTAGCTAGCTTTCCAAAGTTTACCATTCATCCTCCACTTGACATCCATTAGGATGGCTACCATCAAAAAAAATGCAGAAAATAAGAAGTGTTGGTGAGGATGTGGAGAAATCGGGACTCTTGCACTTGTTGGTGGGAATGTAAAAGGGTGTAGCTGCTGTGGAAAACAGTGCCGTGGTTCCTCAAAAATAGAACTATGATATGATCTAGCAATTCCACTTCGGGGAATAGTCCCCACAAAAGTGAATGCAGGGTCTCGAGATATTTGTACACCTATGTTCAGAGCAGCATTATTCACAACAGCCAAAAAGTGGAAGCAACCCGAGTGTCTGTAGACAAGTGGATGGATAAACAAAATGTGGTATACACATTCAATGGAATATTATTCAGCCTTAAAGAGGAAGGACCTTCTGACACTTGCTACAACATGGATGAACTCTGAGGACATTATGCTAAGTGAGATAAGCCATTTGCAAAAGGATAAATACAGTGTCATTCCACTTAAATTAGGTACCTAGAGTAGTCAGATTCATCGAGACAGAAAGTAGCATGGTGGTTGCCAGGGCCTGGGGGGAGAGGGGGAATGGGAAGTTACTTTTAATGAATACGGAGTTTCAGTTTTGCAAGATGAAAAGAGTTCTGGAAATGGATGGCGGTGACGGTAGCGCAATAATACAAATGTACTTAATGCCACTGAACTGTACACTTAAACGTGGTTAAGATGGTAAATTTTAGGAGCCGGCCGGGTGGCGCAATAGTCAAATGCACATGTTTTGCTTCTCTGGCCGGGGTTCGCTGGTTCGGATCCCGGGTGCAGACATGGCACTACTTGGCATGCCATGCTGTGGTAGGCGTCCCACATATAAAGTAGAGGAAGATGGGCACGGATGTTAGCTCAGGGCCAGTCTTCCTCAACAAAAGGAGGAGGATTGGCAGCAGACGTTAGCTCAGGGCTAATCTTCCTCCAAAAAAAAAAAAGAAAAAAAAAAGATTGGCAACAGATGTTAGCTCAGGTGCCAATCTTAAAAAAAAAAGATGGTAAATTTTATGTTATATGTATTTTACCACAATTAAAAAACATACATATTTTTTAAAAGTTTACCACTCATCCAAAGTGAGCCTAGGGTTGAGTGGAAGTATCAACGCAGCATGACCGGTCGGCCAACAAGGCAGGCACGTCACCGTTTCCACTTTCCCTGTCCATGACAAACACTGTTAATTAATCATCCCAACATTCTTTCCTCCTGAGTCCAGATGCAAGATCATAACCTTTCTCAACATAGGCCACCACCAAACAACCAGAGTTATGTCAGCTGTGTCAGTGTAGGAGAAAACTGTGACGGTCTATGAAATGAATGCTAGAGAAAAGTGTACAAAAATACAAAACTTCATAAGATAGGAAAAATCAACATAAACTTGATATATTAAGAAAAATTTCTTTTTCAGCTCTGCCTCAAAAAAGTCCCAATAACTGAAATAGAAGCAGTACTTTTGACCAACATTACCACTCATTTGAACTCATGTAACCCAGGTTCAATTTTCTGTATTTTCTACAAAAACTCTTCTTCAGAACTCTTTGAAGGGGAATTGATTTCAAGTCTTGGGACAGAAGAATTCAGAGGGGGTCTAGAATATCCTGGTGTTGCCAGAGAGCAAAGATGCTTTAGAAACCACTGGGCGCAGTACTGAAAGGACAAAGGAGAAACTTAGGGGGGCTCCTACTGCCTGGGCTGTACCAATTGAGGCATAAAATCATAGTCAACTGGAACAGCTGACGTAACTGGAAAAAGTTAATACATATAAAGTGTTAATATAGTAATAATATAAAATGGAGATAGTTTGCAATTTTATTGCTAAGTTATTAAGTACATAGCTAGTCTGTTCTTTTCTACTTAATGCACAGACGCTGTTAAGCATGGGTCTGTTATTAAGTATAAATGTGAACCTGTTTCTATCTGCATGAGCAGGAGAAATTAGGAACCTGTATGTGGGCCAAGCAGTCTCTTGAAAATTAAGAGCTATCCCATGAACTTGGTCAGCCTTTGTGGTCTCATATCATATTACAGCAAGAAATAAGCAAAGCCCATCAGCCACTAATGAGTATACATAATAAACAATGAAAAGAGAGCCCAAGGGTGTGTTTTCAGGTGATGAATTAGCAGAATGTCAGTCTCCACTCCCCTGTCCCAAGAGAGCAATGACTCACTCCCTCGGCTGCCAGGGAAAAATTCTCTAGAAGACTCTACAGATGAGTCACTGATAAGACATAAGTAAGGTTCCAGTTATATCAAAGCATCCTAAGGACAGAAAGATAAGGTAGGTTTAAGCCACCTGTTCACAACTTCTGGTAAAGACACTGAGTTTCAGAAAAAGAATATCTATCTGAGGAGAGAGGTAAATTTTCCGTGATGTCACTAGCACACTTTGTAATGAAAAGGGCTTGAAGCCCTGGATTATGCGACCAGATCCCACATCCTGACCTCAAATCAGAGGGTTAACAACTTGGAACTTGCAGCCTCATGGAGTCTTTTTCTTGGAGGGTATGATAAAGTTTCTGAAATCTTAGGAAGATGTAAATTTTATATCATTTAGACTTACTAAGGCAGAGCAAAAATTGGACCCCAGGAATGTGTGAGAATAAGGATAAATACGTTAGTTTGGTAATTATTGGGCTACTTTAATGTATGCTTTTTTGATCTTTAAGGCTTGTAGGTTATTTGAAGAGATTTGATATATTGGATTTGTGATTTTTAATCAAGTCCTTAGAAGTGTTTGTCAGGTTGCAATCACTATAAGTAATTAAGGAAATTTCCTTTAAATCCGTACATGTAGATGACTTTGTTGAATAAGTAGTATGTGAGTATGTAGATTAGTGTTGATTATGTTTAAAGAAATATTGCTTAATAAATTCATAAGATCAAAATTTGGACCTTAAACAATATCCAAACAGTCAAGAGTATTCTTCCCCAAGCAGAAAAACCCATTGAACACTAAGGACCATCAAAACATGAAACCAACTTGCCATCCCAAAAGACTCAAGACCATTAAAAAAAGATTGCTATTCAAATAAAGGTACCACATGCTGAATCTTTTCTATACAGATGGTGCTAATTTCTCAGAGATGGTGGGGTTTGCCTTTTGAATCACGCTTCCTGGTGTGGTGAAAGTTTTTGCTTCCCCAATTTCATTGCCAACCTACAGCTGTCAATTCCATACCTTTTGGCTCATCTGTCTTTCCTCTTGGGTTGGAGTTATCATTTTTTGTTGTATCCTTCAAGGTTCCATATTCCTTTTCCATCTTAGCTGCTTCTTCCTTGGTACTATCTGTTTCTTCATGACTCTTTTCTGATGGCACTGTAATCAGATTATGCACTGTTGTTATAATCCTATTTCCTATCTATTAATTAACTCCTAATGTAGAAATAAACTTTATGGAAAAGATACAGTTTGAGGTCAGATCATTTTTTGAGCTAAAAGGGATCTGAGTGATTATCTAGTCCAGCTCCTTCCCCCCATTTCACAGAAAAGGAAACTGAGGCCCAGAGAGGAGAGAGGCCTAAGGTCACCCACTGAATTAGCAGAAGAGCTGGGTCAACCCCCAGCTTCCTGGGCTCTGGCTTAGTGTTCTTTCCCTTCTGCCATATCGTGTCATCAGAGAGTAGATTATTTTCCTTTCCTTAATCAACGTAGGCAATCAGGTGGGATGTGTCAGGTCCAAAAGTAAATTTGAGTCTTGATTCCAAGTGAAAATAACTCTGTAGTTGCCCAATGTCTCCTTGACATTGTGTCTTTGAAGAAGACACTGTCACTCAGAGTGGCACGGAGGATTTGGGGCTCCGACAGGACTTCTCTCCTCTGCCTCCTTCTCCATGCTCCCTTACCCCTGGTCCTACCAATGGGGAGAAGAGAACTGGACCTTTGCTGTCAAGAAGGCATAACCTTGCTCACTTCTCACTTAAAAATAACTAGATTTCTAGCAATCTTATATTAAATCTTTTTTTTAAAGATTAAAAAAAAATTTTATTTTATTTTTCTTTTTTCTCCCAAAGCCCCCCAGTACATAGTTGTGTATTTTTTTTCTTTTTTAGTTGTGGATCCTTCTAGTTGTAGCATGTGGGACACCGCCTCAGCATGGCCTGATGAGCAGTCATGTCTGCACCCAGGATTCGAACTTGTGAAACCCTGGGCCGCCAAAGCGGAGTGCACGAACTTAACTACTCGGCCACGGGGCCGACCCCTGTATTAAATTTTAAAAATCATATACCTTAATGAAGGTAACCCCTTAAAAAGAATGGTAATGCATCCCTGTTGTCAATAAAATAGGGAACCTCAAGCAGACTAACAATAGGCTTTTTTATTTTCAATAAATGGGTTACTACTATAGAAAAAGGAAAGGAGAAAAAAAGAAACCACTTATTTTTTCATTATGTAAAGCATTCACTACTAGTGCTATGGTCTATGTATATTTTTTGATGCATATTTTTCTCATAGTTGTGGTATACTCTTGTTCCTTTCTTTTGTCGTTGTCATCATTATGGAAGGATATTTTCAGGTTATTAAAAAACTACTTGAAAACATCATTTTAAAGGGCTGCATAATATACAGCCCTCAAATATATGTACATAACTTCTGAGATCAGGACACAGCATTAAAGTTTAGGAACTTGTGACCTTGACTCTTTGCTCCTCCATCCCCCTGGAAGGAGGCTCGTTTGCACAGCTGGGCTCCGTGGTGTTTGCTGTGCTGAGCAGGGTAATGAGAGATGGAGAAGTGAAGAAACTGAGAGAAGGGGCAAAATCACACCAGAGAGGAGCACAGACTATCCCAGAGGAGAGAGAAGACCCCGGAGGGAAGAGTAAGCGGATGGGGCAGAGAGAGTGGACAGATGACCAGGGACAGTAGTCTGGACATGTCGTGATCTGGGGAGAGAAAGAGACACCTAAAGGAGAATTTTAGGACGGATTGCTCAGTTTTGTGACATTGCCCTCTCCTTTTCCCAACAGCCACTTTCTAAGAATCTTCAGCAAAGACTTACATTTCTTTTCTATACTTCTTGGGGTCAGATTTCTGTGCTGAGACTGGCCACAAAATAGCCAAGGTGACAGTTGCTTAATCCCATGGTTAGATTTCAGATTTTAAAACTTTCTGAATTCTGTAATTCTTTATCAATGTTTCTTAAAGATCATTATTTACCACTCAAAAGGGTTATTGCACTAAAAGCTGGAAAAATAGTAAAATAAATCATACCTGGGAAAAGCTTGCTTTTATTGTCAGTGACATTTTTTTCTAGCTTGTTCTTGGTCTGAAGAGCAATTGTTTCATCCAAGTTTTCTGGAGGGAGGAGGGAAAGAAATAAAATTTTATTTCTTGAAAGATGATATCAAACTTCTACTAAAAATGTTTAAATCTCATCAGAAATATCACAATAGCAATCCCACAATATGAACACTGCTAATAAGATGCTTTGACATGGATTTTATTTCTAGGAATCACAGACTTTCAGGATGGAAAGGCATGCTATTTGAGATCCCCAAGTTCAGCCTCCTACTCCGTTAACTGCAGAAGTCCCTTCCATCTCTCTGTGGTCACTGCTAGAACACCTCCAGGGTTGGGGCCTATGATGGACAGCTGTGGTTTTGGCCTACTCAACACCTTCTAGTAACTACATCTTGATTTTCCTCTGGAGAACCCAGACCTCTCCTATTCTCAGCACATTTGGCTCAAGAGGAGGCTGAATAACCCAGGCCTGGCTCCTCAGGGTCTTCTTCCTTTCAAGGAGGAGCACGGGATTCAAGCCAGGCCAATGAGAGTCAACGCTAGGACCAATGGGAGAAAGAGGCTCTCTTCCCACCAGGAGTACTGTGAGGATGTGAGATTGGGGCTATGCCAGCCATCTTGTTCCCCATAAGGGAGCAGCTTGTCTGGAATGAATTAACATATGGAAAGTCAGAGCTGTGAGATGGGGAAGGATAGATTCCTCACACCACTGGTGGACTTCACAAACCTGAAGCCAGACCACCCCCAGCCCTGGACTTTTCAGTTATATGAGGCAATGAACCCCCTTTTCACTAAAGCCAAACAGTTGGATTTCCATCATTCAAGTTCCTCCCTAATTCAGGAGGCAGCCACTTCTACCGTAGGCTTAAGGGTGAGAATTTCCCTCCGCTTATTAAGCTGAAATCTGTATCCTTGTCTTTGTCCTAATTTTGCTTTTTGGAGTAACATCGTTTAGGTCTTACTAGACAGGAATCTAGACTATGACCACCTCAAAGTAGTCAATGAATTAGAATCCACACTCTTTTTATTCAGTTGTTCAACCAGCCACATACCTAACTCACTAATAAGGCAGGCCTTTTTTTGCTATTTGCAAACAAGCATTTCTTTGCAATTAGTCTATAAAGATTCCATTATTACTTTGTATTATTTCTTGCAGGTAAACTCCTTCCACCCTACCCCAACCCTCTTTTGAGAAGAAAATCAGTAGATCCTATTGAGTGATGCATTCTGTTTTCTTCTTTGAAATAGTGGCCTTGGCTGGCAACCTTCGTAGTCACCACACTGTTGGGACCAGAACAGAAAAGTAGGTAACTGGTCATTGTTTGTCACTCACCAAGAAGGGAGGAGAGGAGGTTGATCAATCCTCTCTATTCTACCCATGGTGCCCCTGAGCCCTCGGGGGCCTGAGGGTGGACCTCCACAGCAGCAGAAGTCAAAGCCAATGTGCTTACACAGAAAATTCTCTAAACATAACTCATTTTGTGATTGTGAAAGTTACACATACATATATGTATGAGAAAATGACGAAAACAGAAAATTATAGAGAAAAAAATAACACATTATGTCCAGATCATGTTTTGGTATATTTCCTTCCAATTTTCTATACATATATTCATTTTTTTTAATTAAAAAATTTTTTTTCTAACTTTTCCTTTTTCTCCCAAAGCCCCCCAGTACATAGTTGTGTATTTTTAGTTGTGGGTCCTTCTCATTGTGGCATGTGGGATGCCACCTCAGCATGGCTCGATGAGTGGTGCCATGTCTGTGCCCAGGATCCAAACCAGTGAAACCCTGGGCCACCAAATTGGAGTGCGCGAACTTAACTATTTGGCCACAGGACCGGCCCCCATATATTCATTTTTTAACACCAAAATTGAGGTCATATTCTAAATGGCTCTAAGCATTCAACAGTATACCATGAACATTTCCCCCTACCGTTAGTCTTTATAAACAATATTTATGTTGTATATGTAATATTTAGAACTATTAAAAACACATTTGAAAATAAAATTCAGATAGTCTATCATAAGAATAAATAAATAATTTTAGATACTCTCCTCTTGTGGAGTATCTAGGTTATTTCCACTGTTTCGTTTTGTTCCTATAAACCACTGCTGTCCGATAGAACTTTCTGCACTGATGGAAATACTAATTTCTGTCGTCTTCAACATGGTAGCCACATGTGGCAAGTGAGCGCTTGAAATGTGCCTAGTGTAACTGAGAAACTAATTTTTAATTTTGCTTTATTTCAATTATTTTTAATTTAAATAGCAACATGTGGTTAGTGGCTGCCATATTGGACAGAACAGCCATAAACGGTAGTGAAACACATCCCTTGCACGTTAGCCTTGTGGCATCTCTAACTCATTTCCATAGAATAAATGACTTCATGTGGAATTTCTGATCACAGGGTATTGGTATGGAAAGATGACTGATTTGAAAAATGTCTTTGATCTGCTGTTAAGTGAGTAAAGTAGGCCATAAAGCACTATGAGTAACATGAGCCCATTTTTTGTTAAATAAACTCAGAGAAAGAAACTGCATAGGTATATATGCGTGCATGCATGCACACGCGCAAACACACACACACATAGAAAAACATCTGGAGAGAGATAACCCAGAATGTTTACCTGAGTGCTGGATTATGAGTGATTTTTCACTTCCCTTTTAACATCTTTTTGTATAGACTGATTTTTTCAAAATAAATATGCTTTTTTATAATGAAAAAAATCTCAGCAAAACTATTTTCATGTAGAAAAAAATGGAATTCATACAGAATAATTCTGGATTACTGTGAGATTTTCTCTTGTTTACTTCTCCCTGCCACATCAAAGATTAGAGTGAGGGGCCGGAGGTCATCTGCCCAAAGGACGTCAGGGATGAAGGTATTTGTTGATCGACTAAACCAAACAAGAAAGAGAGGCTTTTTTTTTTTTTTTTTTTAAACAACCAACATGTAGAATTGAAGAAATGTGCAAGCCTATCTATAAAGTTCAAGGAATCAGGGGTCAGCAAACTTTTCTGTTAAGGTCCAGTTAGCAAATATTTTTGGCTTTGCGGGTCACATGGTCTCTGTCGCAACTACTCAACTCTGCCACTGTAACACAAAAGCAGCCACAGATAACACTGAAACCAATGAGCACCGCTGTGCTCCAATAAAACTTCATTTATGGACACTGAAATTTGAATTTTATGTAGTTTTTTTGTGTCACGAAGTACTATTCTTCTTTTGATTTTTTTTCAACCATTTAAAAATGCAAAAGCCATTCTTAGCTTGTGTGCTATACAGAAATAGGCAACAGGCCACACTTGGCCCAAGGGCAGTAGTGTACAGGCCCTTTGATTTTACAGATGCAGAAACTGAGGCCCAGCAAGGTGAACACCTCCCACCACCCCCCCCAACCCCCCACGCTTCCCCCACCCCTCGGACAGAGCTGGTGGGCGGCAGAGCTGGGACCAGGAGGTGGAACTTCCCAGCCCTGGTCCAATACTCTTTCCTTCTCGCCACAAACAGACTTCCTGGTTAAAATCAAGACTTTTTTGTCCTGACCATCAAACACAATTGAAAAAAAAAGAAAGTCAAATTTTAAGTAAAATGTCTCCTGGAGATTATCAGAAAGTGTTAATTAGGCAAAATATGACAAATGTGAAATGTTTGTACTTGAGCTGGATCTATTTCAATACAGAGTTGAAAATTTCCAGGGACCTTTATTTGTGTGCATGGTCAAGCTGGGCCATTCTGTTTACTCCGATGATTCAGGCTATTTGGGCATAAATGATCAGGTTAGTGAAGTAATTATTGCCGAGTCCCTAATTCCCTTTGGACAGTGAAAACCATCGGCGTGGAAAACCAAATAGACAGGCCTCTCACCAAGGTAGGAGACGCCTTCTTCTGGGGATATGGTGCCGTACTTCACCATCATCTTCACAAAGTCAATCAACGTTTTCATGATGGTAATCAGCGTTTCTTTCTCTTTTGCCTCTTTTTCTATACAAAAGGACAAAATAATTTTAAAAAACTAGTGGAGTATAGCTTCATCTGTCAATGTTAATTTATGAAATACAACATCTTATTGAAATATTTCTCCCTGCGTTTACAGCTAAAATCACATATACAGACATCTGGTCCCGGACTTAAGATGGTTCAACTTACGATTTTTCAACTTTACAATGGTGCAAAAATGATATGCATTTCAGTAGAAACTGTACTTTGAATTTTGATCTTTTCCCAGCACCTTTTCGTGATGCTGGGCAGTGGCAGCGAGTGCATCTCCCAGTCAGCCCCGGGATCACGAGGGTAAACAAATGATACACTTGCAACCACTCTGGGTCCATACAACCGCTCTGTTTTTCACTTTCAGTACCGTATTCAATAAATTACATAAGATAGTCAACACTTTATTACAAAATAAGCTTTGTGTTGGATGATTTTGCCCAACTATAGGCTGTGCGTGTCCTGAGCACATTTAGGGTAGGCTAGGCTAAGCTATGATGTTGAGGAGGTTAGGTGTATTAAATGCATTTTCTTTCTTTTTAAAGATTTTATTTTTCCTTTTTATTCCAAAGCGCCCTGGTATATAGCCGTGTATTTTTAGTTGTGGGTCCTTCTAGTTGTGGCATGTGGGACGCCGCCTTAGCATGGCCTGACGAGTGGTGCCATGTCCGCAGACAGGATTCGAACCAGAGAAAACCTGGGCCTCCAAAGAAGAGCGTGGGAACTTAACCACTTGGCCACGAGGCCGGCCCCCTTAAATGCATTTTTGAGTTACGATATTTTCAACTTACTGACAGGTTTATCAGGATGTAACCCCATCGTAAGTCAAGGAAGATCTGTATTTAATCTACAAAAAACTTAAACTTGATTGGGAGTGCAGGACAATGTATAGGTGTACCGAACTTTTTCAGAAACGGGCAATTATAACTTCTCTAAAAAGGTTTACTTTATTTGAAAATATTTTATTAATAGAGTAGATATAAAGAGACAGTTTGCAACCCAAGGTAGTATGAACTCAAAAGGAAAGTTAGAAGATTGATGACCCAACAACTATTCTTTATTTAGACTATGTTTTTGATGGTAAGAATGACCTCTTTTCATTAATCAAACTTAATATTTGAAACAAGAACACACATGTATCTTTATTTTTTAAATGTAAGGTTGATTTTTTAACAATGGTATATATTGTTTCCTAAACTTTATTTCATTTAACAGTATTTGTGCATATAGTAAAAATATTCCAACAGTTCAGAAGTAAATAATAGTGAACGTAACATTCTCTCCCTCCCTGCCCACTCCTACTCTGTATAGGTAACCACCATTAACAGTCTCTTGGGAACTCTTCATAGCTAACATACTGTTCCGCATCTTGATAAAAAAAGATGGCCAATGATTTCATAGTAGTTCAGTAGATGTATCAATTCTAAAATCAGAAAAAATTTATTTCAATTATTGAAGAAAAGAAAAACCAAGGGGGCCAACCCTGTGGCCCAGTGGTCAAGTTCGTGTGCTCCGCTTCAGTGGCCCTGGGGTCGCTGGTTCAGATCCTGGACTGGGATCTGTACACCGCTCATCAAGCCATGTTGTGGCGGCATCCCACATAGAAGAACTAGAATGACCTACAACTAAGATATACAACTATATACTGGGGCACTGGGGAGGAAAAAAAGGAAGATTGGCAATAGATGTTAATTCAGGGCTATGCTTTTTTTCACTAAAAAGCATAACAAAAAAAAGGAAGAAAAACTAAGATGCGAAAGGAGAGCCCATTTTCTCTATTCTTTTAGCTGCCGTGAAGGATTTCTCTAAATACTCCTAGTCCTTGCCCCCATCTTTTCATCCTCCCCATAGATGTGGTTGGTAGGCAATAGCCATTAGTCTACATTTCTCAACTGATTTGATTTGGGATTTTTCTTCTTTCCACTCCCCTGGAACAGTGGAAGCTAGAGATCTGAGAAAAGTGCCTGCTTTGCAGATTCAAATGATCCCTGAGATCAGCTGTTCCAGGAGCTAAATTGAGGAGTAGGGAGTGAGCAAGCCCATTGTTGGCTCTTATGCTAAGCTACATTCTACTACTCAGTCTTTTTTATCAGTATTAGAGATATTTTGGTTTCCTACCCACTTTATTATTTCCCAATTGGTTCAGACCTTAGGTGAGAAAGACAAGTACTATCAAAGAGCTCAGTGTAAGTATTTAAATTAAAATTCTATAAAAATAAAGGCAATTAAGAATGGAATGAAGGAAACTGAAAGATAAAAACAAATAAAGAACATTCCATATAGTGGAATCCTAAAAATGCCATAAAAGTCACATAGTTGGGAGAGAAGAAAGGTGGCGGAAGAGATTCTGGACAAGGGCTGGTAAATAACTTCAGCCATCACATTATTTGCTCAAGGTCACATCCAAATAGGTATTTGGTATCAGGCTGATGCTCTTCACTGACAAGAAGTGACTCACCAGGATGACAGAGGTTCTGAGCTGCACATCTGCCAACCAATGGGGCAAGATAGCTCAGAAGGGACCCTCAAGATGTACAAGCCCTGCAGACACCAGCAGAAGGGCCAGTGCCATCTGGCCAGTGTCTAGAATTGAAAGACAAGGATGTTCTGCAGAAATGAAAGCACGCTCTAAGGTCACTTCTTGGGGAAATGTTACCATTACAGAAATCTTTATTACAAATGTTCAGTCTGGAGCTGAATCTTTGAACAAGAAGAGGAAAAGCCATAAAGCAGTGTGGGGCATCTGTCTGGACGATAAAAACAACAGAAAATTTGCCTGTTATTTTCCTCCTTGCAGATTAACCAAAAATAAACATGAACTGAAATCTTCGGTTAACTTATTTTGGTGCACATATAAGAGAAAAGAGCAAGACACATTAAGGACTTTCTGGGTTTTTTTGGTGAGGAAGATTTGCTCTGAGCTAACATCTGTTGCCAATCTCTCTCTTTTTTTGCTTGAGGAGGATTAACCCTGAGCTAACATCTGTGCCAATTTTCCTCTATTTTGTGTGTGGGTCGCCACCACAGCATGGCTTAATGAGCAGTGTAGGGCTGCGCCCAGGATCCAGACCCAGGAACCTGGGCGCCAAAGTGAAGCGTGCCAGACTTATAACACTATGCCATGGGGCTGTCCCCAGGACTTTGTTTTTTAAAAAACATCATTTTCCAAGTGTGTTTTGCCCTCCTGACCTCCTTTAGTCCAAGGTTTATTTCACTTTCATTCATTTGAAGACTGAAGATGAAAATGTCTAAAGAGCAATTTCTGAATCACTTAAAAAATGATAAATTATGTTCCATTCACTGTTCACATTCACCCACTAAGAGAGGATAATGAATAAAGCCTTTGTAAAAAAAGATTTGCAATAAGAGTCGAGGCTGAACTGGGTCAGCCCAGGAATACTGATTCATCTCCACAGCTGCAGAGGTTCTCTCCAATACCATGGACACAGCACATATTCCATAACTGTTTGTTGAACAAACAAATGAACCCTCTGGTAACAAGAAGATTAAATTATTCAGAAACTCCACCTTTCCTGGTTAGACTTTGCTAAATATTTCCATGACTAGTACACTTGAAAAACATCGATGTGAACTCTTTTCCCCAAGGCCATAATATATGTCATTGAGGATTGCATTTGGAAACTGAAAACAGGAAGAAAAAGAAACCCACCCACACATTTCCTGGAATGATGGTTTCTATTCCATATGGTTGGAAAACACAGTGTTTACCTGAATCAATACTTTTCAGGAGTGCATAGAAGTTTGGGAAATATTGAAGTTCCTCGAAATTGTCTTCATTGTAGATTTTAGTTCTCCTTTCCAAGCCATTCGTCAGGGTTAAGGTATTAGATACTGTTTCATCATTTTCTCCATTAGTAAAACCATCTTGAATTGCTGCCATTGGAGTCTCCAGTGGGGGAAAAAAATAAATAAAAAAATAAACATTGTGTTAGAACTAATGACACTCCAGCTTGATTCTTTCCTCTGTGGTGCCCTTGAATGTGAAGTGCAAGAATACCTCCTCCTTCGCAAGCTCGTGAAGGCATGTGGGCATCTAGTCACATGGAAAGGTCACTGGGACTTACAGACAGGTACTTCACCTGAAGACCCTGGCGCCTGCTCACAGGAGACTAGACAGGGAATTGCTAGGTTCCTGCTCTGGTCAAGTTCCGCTGCAACAGTTCTCATGAGTGTCTCCTTGTAAAACTGCCTTTCACCCAAGGAGGGGAGCTTTGAAGTCATAATCTGCGGTGCTGAGCTACAGGAAAGCCTGTCCGAATATCTAACACTAGCAGAGCAGTCTCACCTTGAGGACTTCTCAGTGACATTTTAAGGACTGTCTGGAAAAGTGCATAAGACTCTTTCCCCCAGACCTGATCCATGTCCAGTGTTCCCCACCTGAGTTAATGATCCATTGTCCGTTCAGCGAACTAGACAGAAATCTAAGAGCCTTTCTTGCCTCTTCCTCTTCCTTTCCCCCATCCAATATATCGGTAGCCTTGTTGACCCTACTTTCAAAATTCATCCCAAATTTGTACATTTCTCTCTTTCTCTACTGCCCTACTCTAGTCCAAGCTGCCTTCATCTCTTACCTTCTAACTGGTACACAACCCACCTCCAATCTATTCCCAGCACTGCCTTTTCCACATTGTAGTGAGTTATCTTTTTAAAAGTATGATCATTTAACTCCTTTGCTTAAAACCCTTTAGTGTTTCTCATTGCTCTTATGATAAAGATCACTATCCATATATGGCTCAGAAGGCCCTGCCTGGCCTGGCCCGGGTTCACTCCCCCAGTTTCATCTCTCTTGCTCTCCCTGCATGCCAGCCACCCAGTCCTTGTTTAGTTACTTGATACTGCACACATCCTCCTCCACGTACTGTCTCTCATGTTCACAAATTAACTCCTAATTCAGCCTTTGGTTTTTGGCTCAAATCACTTCCTGAGGGAAGCCTTTTCTGAGCCCAAGTCCGGGACAGGTTCCTTTTTTATGAGGTCTTGTAGAACCATGCTTCTTTCCTCGGAGCACTTAATGCAGTTGTAATTAAAACACACGACTACTTGAAGACCACCTTCCTCCTTCATTAGACCATAAGCTTCCGGAGAGCAGGGATTATGTCTGTTTAAATGAGCATTGTATTCCCAGTGCTTGCTAGGTAGTTGGTACCTCAATAAACATTTATTGAAGGAATATTTAATTTGCATTGATCCATTTAGATAACATGAATGAACAGGTTAAGCATATGGACATTTTAGAGATGGGCGAATAAGGAGTACCCAACGGGAGCGAAGCATCATGAAAGTAGCTATGTCAGTTTCAGTTCCGACTGGAAAGCTTGAGTGAAAGTCATAAGTTCTTTGATAAATTTAGAAAGTTTTCTTAGAGTGGGTGGTTCTTCAAAAGCTGTTTAGAAAGACAAAAGCTGGTGGGGATTGGAAGTAGAGAGAGTAAAGGAGAGCTTTTAAGCTATCTGGTAAAAAAAAAAAAAAAAATCCAGACCCAATTTCTGTTTTTTAGGCTCTTCTGAAACGACCATAAGCCTACATACTCTTTTCTCTTGTATTTGGGATAGGATGTTGGAGAAAATGAGGAGCGATGGGGTCTGGGTGCTCTGGTAGAAAAAAACCAAAGGACAGGTGAGGAGTTTGATATGCTCCTGTTTCCTCCTATGGTCAGCTTCATTTAGAGTTTCAAAGGAATTCAAGGAAGGGATAAAGATTTCACTAGCTTGGCTGATGCCAAGGAAAAGATGAAGAGGCACGGAGCCCAGCAGGGAGAAGGAAGGAGGAATGACTAGTCCAAGTAAAGGATGAAAGGTAACCCTCTGAACCAATGAAAAGAGGAAGGAGCAGGTGGAAGAGCACAGGGTGGAACCAGCAACTGGCTCTGGGGAAAAGAAAAGCTGGTGTGGCAGAGGATCAAATCAACCGAGTTTCTGTTTTTGGGTTCTGGGGGCAGATGATGACATTCACTGTGAACAGAAGTTAGATACCAAAAGAGCTATGAAATATTTGGTTCCAGGACATTGGAATTAGGCAAACAGTTGTTATGTGAAATAACCATTTCACATAATATTATGTATTATTTTACTGTGGGGTATAAAACATAATCTTTACTATCTAATACAATGTAACATGTATCTTGAAATTATTTTCAAAGCAGAATTCATTTGTATCTTTTAACTTATTGGTATTTCATGAATATATTTTAAGTGGGCTAAAAATGTCACATATCCCAAATCTTCTTTAGGACCAAGTAAGGTACTAATTATATGCAGGTTGTATTAATTATATGCAAATACAAGTAGACACACACATGTCCATGCACATGCATATATACACATCCATAACATACACATATACATACCACTTTCTCTGGGATTTTTCCAGCTTGACTCTCGGTCCTGCTTGTGGGTTTACTGGGTTCCTCCTCATAATTGTTGGCTTCCTTTGAGATCAATTTTTGTAAAACCTCAGCTACTTCATCTTCCAGTGTGTGTGCTTGGCTTTCCGTTATCTGTTATAAAGAGTCAAAACACATAACTGTTATTTCCATTTATGTGATTAAAAAATCTAGACTAAAGTCTGTAGTTGAAAACGTGTTTTTAGAGAACCTTCTGGTCCCTTTTTCTGGACAACCTTTGTTTATGCCTCTACTAGTTGCTGGCTGTTATAGTGACTGCCCAGCACTCTTTGGGCTCACCATGCCAGTGGTCAGTCCTGTCTGTTGGAACCCATGGAACACTTATTTTGAGAAACATCTTGAGAGTTGTTTCTTAATCCTCAGTGGCAGGTTGAGGTCAGCTAACGGAAACATGGAAATTCAGTTCCTGAATAAAGCCTGTCAGGGCTGGGAGCCAAGAGGAACAGGGTCAAAGTGGATTGCTTCGAGTTTCCCAGATATTGCTTCCCTTTGCTCATGTTATTTCCTCCTCACACCACACACGTCTTTTACTTCTGCTGGTTAAATCCCATCTATCCTTTTAAGCTAGCTTCAAACACCTCCTTCTCTGAAGCTTTTCCTTACTGCCCAACTGGGTATAGTCCATCCTCTGGCCTGCTGAACTACTCTTACGATTCTTATGCTGCTTTCACCATGGGCACGTGTGTACTTGTCTAGTTTCTCTGATAGACTAAACTCCTAGAGGGAAAGAATATTGCCTTACTTGTCCTCAAAACCTAAAGTGCCCTGGGGCCGCCCCGGTGGCGCAGCGGTTAAGTTCGCACGTTCCGCTTCTCGGCGGCCCGGGGTTCGCTGTTCGGGTGAGGACATGGCACTGCTTGGCAGCCATGCTGTGGTAGGCGTCCCACGTATAAACTAGAGGAAGATGGGCACGGATGTTAGCTCAGAGCCAGGCTTCCTCAGCAAAAAGAGGAGGACTGGCAGTAGTTAGCTGAGGGCTAATCTTCCTCCAAAAAAAAAAAAAAAAAAAAAACCTAAAGTGCCCAGTAGAAACTAGATGCATAGCAAACATTTGGCTACTTGAATTGAGTGGCTTGGCTTCTTAGCATCTTCCAAACTGGATTAAGAATTTGTGTTTATTCTCACGCACAACTTACCAGGCCAAGATTCAGCAGTTTAGAAACGATCTTGTCAAAAACCCCTCTGTCATTTTCCTCATAAATCCTGGTAGCAATTTTCTGGACAATGTCTTCTGCAGTTAAAGGAGTTCCATCTAGTTGGTGAAGGCCATCTGGATCATCTAGACAGAGCAATCACAGTTTCACATCGTACTGATCACAGAACTATTTCATGGATCATATTACAGTCATGTGTCACTTAACCATGGGGTTATGTTCTGAGAAAGGCATCGTTAGGCGATTTTGTCCTTGTGTGAACATCATAGAGTGGACTTACACAAACCTAGATGGTATAGCCACTACACACCTAGCCTATACGGTACTAATTTTATGGGACCACTGTTGTACATATAGTCCATCACTGACCCTGTCATTATGCAGTGCATGACTGTATATAATCTATACTTGCTCTTGCACACTCAGATATGTTTGGAATATATTTATGGTGCAGCTTGGTTCACATGAACTCTTGGTTTGGAATAAAATTTGACTTGAAGTTAAGAACCAAGGGTGAGGGGCCGGCCCCGTGGCAGAGTGGTTAAGTTCGGGCACTCCACTTCGGTGGCCCAGGGTTTCACCGGTTTGGATCCTGGGCACAGATGTGGCACCGTTCATCAAGCCATGCTGAGGCAGCATCCCACACGCCACAACTAGAAGGACCCACAACTAAAAACACACAACTATGTACCAGGGGGCTTTGGGGAGAAAAAGGAAAAATAAAATCTTTAAAAAAAAAAGAACCAAGGGTGATAATGGAAATTCTGAAAGCTTCTTATGCGATTATAAGAGGAAGATCTGAAGACACCACAAAGGGTCACTCCAGTTTTTATTCTCACCAAAAATACAAACAATAATATACTTTTAATTATTATCCTATGCCGTATTTATGTAGTATGTCATACTGTTCAAAGCACCCTTGTATTATATAATTTGATATTCCATTTCCACACGGAGAGTAGATTGGGAATATCTGTACACGTATTCCCTTTGCTGGCGCATTCCTGAGCTGAGGGTGGGGGAACCTGCCTCACACCTAGAATCAGAGAGTGTACTAAAGATTTTATGACTTACCTGGAAGAAATATTTAATTCTAACTGAACATGAGTCAGAGTGCCTTTATGTAAGAGAGATTAATGTGACAAGCCCCTTTCTCCAGAGAATGGGGAACTTATTTTAAGTGCCTGGAATTTAAACTTTTCAAATGTGACAACAGATTTGCACAAAGTAATGTGTAAATTTCTGCAGAGAAACTTGCAAATCTGTATCCTTGGCTTTCTTGGGAATCCATTTGGCAGCACTACTTCAGACTAAAGCAAGGGCCCATCCTGAAGGAAGGGGAGGATGCAGTAGGGTTGGTGGCCAGGAAGCATTGCACCACATCCATGGAGAACTCCCAGGAATCAATGGTTTTTTCCCTCACCTATACCACGTGGAGCAACATATTAATACATGCAACTTACAAGGCGCTCTCCCTGTCACCTCTAGGCAGATTGGAAAGATTAGAATTTTAGCCCCAGTGATACCACCTGTTATCTCTGCATCCTTGGACCACTCTACAAAAAGATAATAGGATTACCTATTTCATGGGATTGTTGTAAGGATCAGAGGAAATAAGATGTAAACGCACCCTTGAAATTGCAAAGTAGTATATGAAAGCTAATGTTCAATATTATATGAAAGCTCATTATTATCTACAGTGGATTTGTACCTGACATAAAGGAACAGCAATTATCTTCTAGAGAAAATAGAAATTGAGTCCCTGGCCAGATTCTGCCCAAATAATTCTGGTCATATTCATTCACTCTAAGAGAGAAGAACTTAGTATTTCTATTCTGTTTCTGTCCTTTTCTTCCATGGCTTTTGGGGGGTTCAAATATGGAATTTCTCTCACAGCCTTTCTTCCAGACCCTATGGAGATGGAGGTAGATGCAGCCTCAGGCAGAACATCTTCTTGTTGTTTGAAAGGAGGTGCAGGAAAATGAGTAGAGTGACTATACACAGAGGACTGGAAGTTCCCTGACAGTATATTATTGCCGAGCTGTCAGCCAGTCCTTGAGATGTGAGCCCTTTGAGCTCCTGTGTACCAGAGTGACAAGCAGAAGAGCCCCTAAGAAAAAACCACAGATCAGTTCCCCTGCTGGCTGACTGACAATTGGGCTCAGCATCCATTTTTTCCAGAGCAGGGACTCACTATCATTTAGGTCTGATTTTTCCATTTGTGGGTTGCAACACAGACTCTTGGGAATATGTGAAGCAGAAGCTGCCAGGGTCTATGCAGAGGTGGAAGAATTTATTTCCCTTCCCACTTATCCCTCAGGATCTGAAAAAGGAAGAATATCGGTTGCCTGCTGGAGCTGGAAAATAACTGAGATGACTGTTTTTCAGTTCATTTACTTCACATCAAGGAGGACATTAGCAATGCTCTGAAGAAATAGCCTCTTTCCTCTGCTGTACTGCTCTATTCTCTTGAGCCAGGATCTTAGGCATCCCCAAGAAGAGCTTTGCTAGATGGGGTTAATAGTTGAGCACTTGGGCATTGCTCCTTACCTTCCACTGATTTCTCCTGGCTCCTCTAAAATGGACGGAGTTACTCAGAACGACTTCTCTACTGCTCATGAAGGGGTATTTCACCCTCCCATATAGACCCTCAGAGGAAAGCCAAACATGAGTTCAACATTTGTAACTTTTTAAAATCAGCAACAACCTTCTAAGTGGATGTAAAAGGGCCATGTTCCAAGTCATCATCTTCCCAGTTATGTTTTGAATCCTCAGCATGTAATATGGCACTTGACATTCATTTGTTCAATACATTTTATTAAAGTCTTAATATGGGCCAAAACTGGAAATAGAGTAATAAATAGTTGAGGCATGGTCCCTAACTGCGCAGAGCTTATTGTCTTGTTCATAGCCAGAAACAGCAATTGCTCAATGAATATTTGTTTGGTGAATGCACACAGGAGCCCAAAAGCACTACTTCACAAAAGAAACTTGGAAAAGTCCCGAATCACACATACTGTAGAAAGCACCGAAAAAGAGAATTGATGGGCCCTATAGCACAAGCCCACTTGGAGGTTTCCTAAAGGCGAGAAGGTACCCTGCAGAAGTTAGGCTCCCTCGCCCTCCCTTCTGGGATGTAAATCTGCATGCCTCTGAGGTCCTAGTCACCTTGGTGGTCCCAAACCCTTCAGTAGCAAGATTTTCAGGGTAGGAGGGGAGACCTCATAAATGATATGATTTATATCATAAATCATATGATTCACTCATAAATCATTCTCTCTAAGAATCTTCTCTGTAATGTCAAGTGGACTTAAAATGACTCATAGGATAAACCTAGAGCCATCAGGATAAGTACTTGGTATTTCTGAGGCCGTTTGGGATGATAATAAAACATTGAACAATTTAAAAGTAAGTTACTCAAGTTAGCGGTCCGATCACAAACAGATCTGTGCCTCTGCTGGCACGTGCAACCAGTTTGACCAAAAAGATTCAGTCAAACAAACATTAGACTATTTTTTAATTTTGTTAAATGAAATGGTCAGTTCAGAGTGGTTGAATCTGTTTTGTATGCAGCTATGCCCAGTGTCTATTTATTTCTAGTCCAAATATTTTAGGTTAAAAAGTAGAATTCAAGGGGAAAAAACCCTAAATTTCCTCAAGTAGTATGCAATATGAAATGTTTCAAAATATAAACCATCTCCCCCACCCCATATATGGACAAAACACTTCTGAACTCTCTTCAGGCTATGATATCCAATGAAAGACAATTTTAATAGGTAGTTGTTTTCTGGCAGAAATAATCAGCATAATTCTCTTGTGGACACAGAACAGAATAAGGACATACAAGAAAATCTATAGTCACTCCTAAGCACTGGTTCTCAGAATGGGAAACACACTCTCTTCCTCAATGCCAAGGTACAATAGTTTGTTTATTCCCTCATGTATTCTTTTACTTGTTCATTCATTCATTCATCAATTCATGCAGTGAATTCATGAGCATCCAGACACTGGGGCTACAATGTCTCTGTTTTCATAAAGTTTTCAATTTAGTTGAGGAGAAGGACATAAGTCATAACTAGTCACTCTTAGGAATGTAAAATTATGACCTGCATTAAGCGCAATGAAGGAAAGGAGCAAGGTTTCTATCAGATTGTGAGTGCTGGATGAACTGAGAAAAGCAGAGAGAAACCAGTCCTTGAAGGACTGTGGAAGCCACATTAAGAATTTTGGTTTTTATTCCAAGAGATATGGGAATCTATGAATGGGTTTTATGCAAAAGAGTGACATGTTCATATTTATGTGTTAAAAAGATCACTCTGGCTGCTATTGGAGTTGGAGAGGGGCAGAACAGATGCTGGAAGATCTGGTAGGAGATTTTGCTGTGGTTCGAGTAAGACATTATTGGAGCTTGGACAAGGCTGGTGGTGATTGTGGATAGAGAAAAAACATCTGAGAGATACATGGTGGGTAAAGTCTGGTGGATTAGAATTTGAGAAATGAGGAAAAAGAGGAATAGTTTGATTCCTAGATTTCTGTCTTAAAATATTGGATGGTAGTAGTGCCTTTCCTAGAGAAAGAGCCCTCTAAGAGGGCGACGTTGTAAGGTGGACAGAGATTATGAGTTTAATCTTGGACATGTTAAATTTGAGGTGCCTCTGAGACTTTCAAGGGAAGATGTTGAGTAGATATACATAGATATATAAATTATAGATAGATAGATTGATCGATCTCAGAGAAGTCTAGGCTAGTGATATGAGACATCAGGATATAGATGGCAGTTGAAGCCATGGAAGGTTAGAATGACCTAGAAAGAAAGGATATGGCTAGGAAGAGAGCACTGAAAAGGAAGTAATGGATATTTCACCTTTGGGGAAGGGTATTTTATTGATTTAATTATTTGAGAATTATGATATTTTGTTTGTACTAATAGTTAAAATAAATTGGAATGTTAAAATGAACTCAAAACATAAAATATAGATAGTAGATTTAAATTTTTTTCCAAAGAATCAGTAAGGGAAGCTTTGAAGAGAAAATAAAATTTGGGCTTCTGTGGAGCTGGGACATCACATATTATCAGTAACTTTGGACTTCATCTCAGTTTTGGTCCTGACTAACAAAGGATTAAGTGTATAAGAGGTATTTTGAAAATATAGGACTTTCTCTTAACCCATAATGGGAAACTTCAAGTTAGAGAAAATGGGAAGCAAAGTTCTTTTTCCTCATTTACCTTGAAATTTATGATCCAGTCCACTCTTAGTAGAATCATAATCATCAATCAGTCTTCGATTCTTGGTTGAATCGACGTCTTCCACATTCAATTTATTATCATATGGGGAGCTTCCTATGGATTGTCTTTCCTTCTCAATTTTTTCCTTTTCTGTTATTGCCTTTAGCAGGTTAAGGTTGTCAACAAAGGAATAATTGCTTTCACTTGGCTTGTTTTCTGGAAGAAAAGTCCCCAAACTCAAGACATCCATTTTAGTTAAGATTCTGATAGCCTACATCATTTAAATTAATATCAATACAATTTCTTTTTACCTGGAGGGTATGTCTTTTTAATCTTGTCTGCTTCTGCTTCAGCAATCTGTGAAACAAACAGGAGATAGACCTGGTTTTAAATCATTGCTCCACCACTTACCAAATATGAGAGCTAAATTATTTAATCTCTATGGGATTTAGTTTTCTTGTTTGTGAAATATAGATAATTTCTATCTCAAAGCATTGTCATAGGATTAAATGAGATTTTTAAAAGGGAAGATGGTCTATAAATATTAATTCCCTTGTCCTATAAGATTGGTGAAAGAAAAAGCTCTGATAAATTAAACAATATCACAATAGAGTGAATGTGATGTTGAGCTCACTGGGTTATTAATACAGCCAGCTCTGTGTATTATACAAAACTCTGTGTATATAACTGTCAGGACAGAGAAATTACCAAAACTATATTTCCCAATTTATTATTAAGCTCCTGAGGTTTGTGAATTCAAAATGGCTAAAATGTCACAGTATAATTACATTAAATAATAACAACTAAAGTAAAATGAAGTAACATTTATGATTTTACTTTTGACCTACCTGTTCATTCAAAGGCCTTTCTGCACTCAATTCTCTATTATGTAGGGGGTTGTCTAGAATAAACACACACAAATATAAATTTAATTGTGCATCGGAAAGATACACTATGTCTCATTACATAAAATCTCCAAAAAAGAAAAACAAATAGGAGAAACAGTTTTGGATGACTGTGAAACAAAAATATATATTAACAAAGATTATCAAGATTATACAATAACAGTGATTATCAATGTTGCCTTGCTTATAGAATTACACTTTTTTTCTAACTAGAAACCTAACATATAGTTCCAATACTTGGTTTACCAGCTGTTTTCAACTACAGAGCATAATTTGAATTGGCGTTATTAGCACATTAAAAGCTCTTTTATCATACACTGCACATGTTATGAATAGAACATCTGAGAAAGATTGTAAGACAATTAGGAAAAAAAAGCCATTTTATTAGGGGTAAAAGCCACCCCCCACCCCCAGTCCCCAGTTTCAAAATAAGATCTTTCAAAACAACCCTGCTATTGCACTACCATTTAAAAAGTAGGGGAGAAAATCTGTCTTCTGTCTCTGAATTCAAACTGATTTCTTCCTCAATATGCCCGGATATGATTTGATCCGAAAATGAGGCAAGGTGATTTACAGCTCACGGATTATGCCAAGCTTTACCTTTTCGTGGCGAAATAAAAGAGATGGGAAGGAAAACGTCCGCGTACCTTGGCTGCCTCCCGGTTTGGGGAAAGCTTGAAGTGGGCTGCTGTGGAGCACCAACACCAGAATCCAAGTGCCGGTCCAAAGGAACCCCATTCTTCCACGCTTGGCTCAGAAACAGCCTGGCGCCGGGCTCCTGGAGCTGGAGCTTTTGTTATGAATGAAAAGGAGTGAAAACAGGAAGAGCTAGGAGGGCGGATGCAGGGAGGGAGAGTGGCGGGGACCGGGCGGTCGGTGGAGCTCCGCGCCCTTTGGGAGTAAAGGGATTAGAAAGGCTCAGGGCGCTCGGGAGGCAGGTCCTCAGGTGGAGGAGAGCGCTGTCCGCGCCGTGAGTGCTGAAGTTCCTGTCACGCGGAGCCGGCCGCGGGTCGGCTAGGGCGTAGCCTTACTCGGGCTCCCTCCTTCAGAGGAAGTGAGGAAGAAAGCGCATGCTCGCTGAAAGCCAGAGGCGGGAAGGGATGGCGTCAGCGACTTCAAAGCTACTCCAATCTCCCGGGAATGGAAGGGGGAGGGGCGACAGACGGGCTGGCGTATTTTCGTGCCGCAGTCCTAGGGGTGCTCCTGCGCTCAGGGTCACCTGGGTTGCCGTAGGCTTGGACATCATTGTCGTAACCTCCCAAGGAAACGCTGCCTCAAGGACCCAATGCCTTCCCTGTCTGTGCACCTGTCAAGGAGAGTTAGATAACCTCGTGTGAAGGGTTCTGTTTTGGGGTTCTTCTGGGATAGCTGCTCCAGAATCCCTTCTTTCCATTCCCCCTTCTGCACGCAAAAGGTAGACATAATTCTTATATCCTTAGAAAAGCCCTGCCTTTTGTGATTTGGGTTGACATACCAAGCGTCCTTTGGTGCTCTTCATTGTGTCTCAGCTCTATGAAGTCTTTTGAATTGGGAAATTCAAGGAATATTCTTTCAAATAGTCAGATTGCTACAACACACTCTCACTCTCCTAGATGCTGAAACAGAACTGAAAAATCGCTACATCTTCCCCTAAGAGTGAATGTCATCATCAGTCCTGGGTAGGTGAGCAGCAAGAGCCAGTTTCATTCTAAAATATCCCCTTCCCCACCAAGGGGAAAACTTCCCCTTCCCCACTACCAAAAAACAAACAACAACAACAAAAACTGTACTTTTGTAACATTCTTCTCCAGAATTCAATTATGCCTACGGACCTGGCTGTTCCAGGGGTCCTTGAAGAGAAGGGATAGTCAGGAAAAGAATTTTACATCATAACTAGGTCAGGGAGGTGCTGCTTATATTCTGAAAATATTTCCAGAAGCCTAAGATTATCACATAAAAGCAGCTATCAAAAGACTTTTAATGATGAATACAAGCAACACTAATGTGAGCAGGGTGCTGAGTAAGTTCTTTAGTCTCTGATTTTTAAGCAGAGCTTGGATCCTTTCCTTTGGACTGTGGCATGCTGGGAACCAGTCTGAATAAAGACCAAAGAGAAGGATTCAGCACAATCAGGCCTTTGATTTCTGTGCCTCTGCTTTTCAAGGAGCAGGTTAGTCATTCAAGTCCCTAAAAACAAACAAACAAACAAGCTAACAAACAAATCCCTCTCTTTCTGGAGGTTTTTGAGTTTGGAAGTCATTCAAATACTTTGCTTAAGAACCTAAAGAGTACTTTTAATCTAACAGCTACTTCAAAACAAATAGTTGTTTCTTGGCAGTGATAACACAGCATTATTATCCCAGTATACTGTGTTTTAAAAAATTGTCACAATTTAAAATCCCAGCTGAGTGAAGGGTAAATTTCCTCTTCTTGAAAACAGAGATGGCAGGCTCTGCTTACCTCATAATGTTATTGTGGAGTTCAAATGGGTATGTGTTTTGATCAAATCATTTTGATGCCAGGAATATTTTGACACAGGCTAAAAGTAAGTCATGAAATGTTTTCAGCTTTTAAGAAACATCACCCAATATTGTGTGAAATAGCCATTCACCAATCCTAAGACTCACTCTATTGCTGACCTAATCCCTCAGCCTCACTCTATTCTTTGTTGTGTTCCTGACTCATTTCTCTCCGCCCCATACGTTTGCAGTTGGGAGTGGCTCAGGATGAAATGAACATAAGGGATGGCTATTGAGCACATTGCATTACTCACAAAAATAAAAACGGTATTTGATCATTCTCTGCCATTTGGACTCAAAGTGACTGTGTTAAATGGCCATTAAATCTAGGAACATGTTAGGTTTCTGATCAAACGAGCTGTGGAGCACTAAGTAAACTGTAGGGCATGAATTAGTGTACATTCCTTAGTCTTATGGATGTTTCTGCTCGACTTAGCATAGGTCTATGAATGGAACAATCCTAAGTTTCATTTGTTCATTAGTTCATTTAACAGATGTTTACTGAGCACCAGAAATGTACCAGGTATTGAGATAATTGCTGGGTATACAAAGACAAGTAAGATATGCTTACTGCTGGTCTTATAGCCTAATAGAAAGGACTGTGATTATAACAACAACAATAACAACAACAACCGCAACTATTTACTGGGTAAGTTTCATATGCTGCACATTGATCTCATTTAAATATAAGAGAACAATAAGCACAAGAGTGTATTATGGGTCCCTGTTATATGTGCAGAGTTCAAGTGAGGTACAAATAGTGGAATGGATAGTCAGAAAAGGTTTCAAAGAGGAGATGTCTCTTTTCATAATAAAAAAAGTTTAAAATATTTTATTATTTTGTGTAAGCACACTATAAACTTTGAATAATATAAAAAATATGTTGAAATTATAAAAACAAGTGTCATTGACAGATCAGGTTATCATGAAACAGACTACTTACAATGTACAGTGAGTTTGTTAATGATGCTTGTGCACATGTCAACACACACATAGATTGATTGTCATGTGCTCATTCACTGGTGGAGAAGATGCTTCTTGAGCTGAGTCCTGAAGATAGAGATATTTGAGGGATGTTTTTATTTACTATAGAAAAATTGTTGTATTAATTATTATTGCATATTTTATTATAGAGTTTCAAACAAACACAAATGCAGAGAAAATATTGCAGTGAGCTCTCATGAATTCATTACCCAACTTCAATAATCATTAACTCATGACCACCTTTTTTATTTTATATCCCCAACCACTTTGCAACCCCAACGGATTATTTACCTGTAAAAATCCCAGATTTCATACCATTTCATCCATAAGTAGTCAGAATGTTTACCTAAAAGATAAGGATTCTTTTTTTCCAACATTACTGTAATAGCTTTATCATTCTTCATAATAATAATACTATCTTATTATCATCAAATATCCAGTCACAGTCCATATTTCCCAACTTGCCTTATAAATATTTTCACAGTTGGTTTGCTTGGGTCAGGATCCAAATAAAGCCATGAATTGCATTTGGTTGGCATGTGAGGGACACATATGAGTGTAAGACTAGAAAGGTAGATGTTGAAAGCTTTTCTTTGACTTCCTCATACAAGTTAGTGGCTTCCTTAGAGTACAGCACACACTTCCAATATAGCATCTATCCCATTGTGCTGCTTTTTGTACATCCTTCTCTTCTCCTTATTTCAAAAATAATAAATACACATTGAAGGAAAAATTCTGGAAATACGAATAAACAAAAAGGGGGAAAATCATCTGATAGAGATAGCCACTACGAATTTCTGGTATATGTCCGTTTGGTGCATGTTTTTTAAAAGAAAGTATTTTATACATATATTTATAAGATTGTGTCTTTCACTGTAATTATCTGCTTATGTATTTAGCTGTCTATCCAACTAAATTGTGAATTCCTCAGGGAAAAGATATTGTGTTACTCATCTTTCATTTCTCAGCCCTTCTTACAACATCTGGAAATCTATTTGCTTAAATAAATGAATGAAGTGATGGAGGGTTGCCTGTTTACTTTTAGTCTTCAAATGCCAAGACTGTGATGGCTGTCCCACATTGGAAGATCATGACAGTCTTGCAGTGCCAGGAGCTGTCAGTTCCTTAAAGAGCTGTTATCCACTCTGTCATTATGATTCTCCGCTCAACATTTTCTTTACAAAAAGAGTAGTCTTGCAGAAGAAGTGTTCATGAAAGGCCTAAGAATAGACAGCCAGAGCTGGCAAAGGCCCCCACAGCTACCGTTATAGTTATGGATCTGTCGCTCTTAAAGAGACTGACACAGAATGCCAGCACTGGAGATGGCTGCTGATATAACTCAAAGGAGAAGTAGATGTGGAATCTGGAAAGTCACCATCAGAAGAAAGTTACAATAACCAAGGATAATGGAAGTGAGCAGATAAAAAGACTAAAATAATCAAGCAAAGTGAAGGCATGGAAATGAAAACAGTATATGAATAAAGAAATTGGGCCCAAATGACAAGATGTTATGGGCTACCTCCAGAGTGGAAAGAGCCAGAACTGAATCTGAGAGTGGGTAGGAGGAGAAGGTAGCTGGATGGCTAATTTTCTTCTTGTTGCTTACCTTGCTTGTCCCATGGTTGAACCAGACTGGGTCAATCACCTGTGCAAAGGGCCATGGGAGGAAGATGTGAGGTGCTACGACTGAGGGCTCCCTCCAGAACTACAAGGATAGAGCAGTTACCTAGAAGGAATCAGGGTAAGGGAATAAGGCAGACAAAAATAACAGACACTCACTACACCAGGGAATACAGTATTTAAGATGGACCAAGCATTATTGAGTGAAAAACATCAGATTGCCTATTAGCAGTATGGTTCCTATGATAAAAATTGTGTGTGTGTGTGCGTGTGTGTGAATGTATGTGCACACATGAATAGACAGTTATCAGAAAAATCTGTTTCTCATAATTTTTACAGTGGTTGCCAGGTTAGGGTTTTTTTCTTTGTTAATTAGGCGGTCCTGAATTCCCTGAAACATGAGTTGAAAACATGGATATGTATTGGTTTTACTATCAGAAAAACCAATGAAGCAATATACTCTATATAAATAATTTTATATACTAAAACATATTCCATTATGTTTCAGACAATTGTAATGAATTATTTTCTTCTGCCATATGAGAATAGATTGTAATAAGTTTGGCAAAGGGGAAACTAAAATCTGGTGGGAGGGTTTTTTGTTTTCTCTGACACTCTGCTGCTACTTGAATCCATTCTAAACAATTTTCACTCTGCAATTGTCATTGCTTGTACGTCTTTTTTATTGTGACTTCTTTGGGGGGTTGAGCTAGTGAGGATTCATCTTTGTATCTTGGTGCCTAGCATATAGTAAAGAGGTCAGTAACTGTTTGTGGAATGGAATTTTATCATCTTATGAATCTACTCAAAACAGTTCTCTTGGCACTGGCCTGGTGGCACAGTGGTTGAGTTTGCACGTTCTGCTTTGGCGGCCTGGGATTCAATGGTTCGGATCCCGGGTGCGGACCTACACACTGCTTGTCAAGCCATGCTATGGCAGGCATC